CCGCCCGGTCCGAGGGTCCTGGTCGGCGTCGTGCCGGGGTGACGGTTAGGCGGCCGCCCTCCGGAGGGTTCCAGAGGCGCCGGCAGCCGGGGCCGGGCGTTGGTCCCGCGCCGGTGGGGGCGGCGGGAGTCGCCGGCCCTGCGGCTGACGCTGTTTTTATTGACACAGGATTTTAACCCTCGCCAACGTGGGCAGGCTCGCCGCGGTTGAGTCAGAGCGGGGTGAAGACAGGGGGGGTGCCGTGTCAGCGCGGCTGCTGCAGGATTGGGCTCGGTAAGGCTGTGCGTCCAGGAGCGCGCCGGCCTGTCTCCGAGCCTCGCCCGCCCTGGTCGCCGGCAGCCAGCCCCACTCCATACACACCCCGTAATGCCCTGGGGTGATGGAACTGTGCCTAAAGCCCCGTGGAATGCTGTGTATATTCCCCACAAAGTCAATCACATCTTTTCACGTGAGCTTTGGCTGACAAGAAAAACCTGGGGCACATAATTCTGAAGTGGAGACAAGGAACAGAACCCTGGAACAGTGCTCGGGTTCCACCAAGACTGGGTGCTGGGAGCTGTGGGACCCTGGCCCTCCCTGGTCTGCCTCCATCCACGCCTCTAAAATGAGAGGCGCTGGACGCTGGCCTGCGAGGGCTGTGCTTCCAGCTGTTAGGTTCTATCCGCTTTGTTGGAGTACTTTGACCTTGATTTTGAAACCACCTTGTCCTTCTTTCCTGATATCTTATCTGACTGATGTGGCAATAGGAGCAGTAGGTTACCCTGGGTCTTTGGGAGCTGCTTAGTAGGTAGCTAAAGGACCACTGGGCACTAGGTAGGGAGATAGAGCAAGCAGTGAAGCCATCCTTGGCCATGTCCAAATCTTGCTGAAAGCAGTCGAGCTTCTGGAGTGGGTAATGTGTAACCATTACTGAGGAAAGAGCCTGTTTTTTTTCCATTTAGGGACACTCATCAAAGTGTCAGGGCTAAGTTTTTGTGTCAGGAGTCAGGCAGCAGTGTAAGTGGTACTGTAGGGAACTGGCAAACGTGTGGCTGCCTCATTCAAAGGGGACCCCAGCCATTTGACTCCATGCAGAAAGATGGGCCCAGTTCAAGAGAAGCCCAAATAAAACTCGTCTTAGGACTTCGCCTGGACGGTAGGCTGCAGGTCTGTGCCCTCTGTTTATGCAGAATATCACAGTTTCAAACCAGTGAGCTGGGAGCATTTCTCAGGCAGTGTTGGGCTAGGTGATAGAATGTTTGGAAAAGGATTAAGGATTCTGGTGGTGCCAGCAGAAATAACTGCACCTTCCCCAGGTCACAAGGTTCTGGTAGCACCTAGAGAAGCCTGACTACACGCTATCAACAATGTTTCCTTCCCCTGGTCGGTGCTGGAATGTTCTCTTGGGAAATACATGAACAGGGCACCTTTTTGAGGAGGATGCCCCCAGCCTGGCAGAGTTCTGTTTTAATCCTTCCACTCTCTTCCCACCCCCACCCCCACCCAGCACTCTCTGCTCTGTAGTCCTCCTTGGGCTCAGATAGTGTTGAGGCTTAGGGGAGGTAGAATATCACAGAAACTTGATCGTACAAAAATGTTTATTTTGCTGTGCATGAGGAGAAGGGCCCAGCTGGCTGTCAAAAGGAGGAATTGGATATCTTTGTGTAATCATTAAAGCTACAATTCAGGCAGTTTCTTTGGCCGTGGCAGATAAGGTTGAATTTCACATTAGATGGCCCCTGGAGACGTGGTCTGTCAGTCAGTACTGCCTACTTTCTAGATCCCTTTTCGAAAGACCCCCATCCCACCACCTACGCCAGAATTTCATAGCTGTCTTCTGTCACCTTTTGTGGTTTTAATCCCTTTCACACCAAGACTTAAAGTATTGTTGTGGCCTCCATGAGTTTTTAGAGTGAATAGCATCTTCATTGTTGAAAATATTTTGGCACCTGTCTGCTGGGCGGAGGATGCTTTTGGCCCTCAGTCACTCCTGGCCCACCTTGGCAGGGTCCTTTGGCTCAGCTGGATATCCTGCACACTCAAATCTAGAGCAATTGTGGCCAACTCTCCCATTTTCAGACCTTGGTGGTTTTTGTGCGTTATCCACATTTCAAGTTCCTGCCATTTGAAAGTGAATATTATTTTCTCCTCTGGCTGGAGGCCTGAGAAGGACTGTGAATAATTGTGCATGACTCAGGCTGTCAGCTCGGAGAGGCAGCAGTGTGCTGATGGGAAATGCCCAGCGTGGTACTTTCACTTTAGGTTCCTCTCTTCGTGGCCTTTCTCTGAGTCGGGTGTGGACACCCCCGGACTGGCAGTGGTCATGTCTGACAGTAGTTTGAATCACAGCCACAAGCTGGCACTTCTGTCCTCTTAGAACCCTCAAAAAAGAAAACCAGCGGGGCCGACCTGGTGGTGTAGTGGTTAAGTTTGCGTGCACCGCTTCAGTGGCCCAGGGTTCATGGGTTTGGATCCCAGGCACGGACCTACACACCGCTCATCAAGCCATGCTGTGGCAGCGTCCCACATACAAA